CGTCGTCGTCGTCGTCGTCGTCGTAGTCGTCGTCGTCGTCGTCGTCGTCGTCGTCGTCGTCGTCGTCGTCGTCGTCGTCGCCGGCGTGCCTGGGTGGTACCCCGCGCGCGCGCACAGGAGCGGGCCGCCTCGGCCTGCGCCGCCGGCGAGCTGTCTGTCCCGCGGCCGCCGCGGGCTGCCGTGGGCCGCCGCGCGGGGCATGGGCGACGAGGAGCCCCATGGCCGCGGCTGCTTTTTCATCCAAGAGTTCTCAGGAGGGGAAAAAACACACAGACACAATGAATCCTCGATTCCCAGAAAATATGGGAAAATATGGGAAGTGGGGGGGAAGACAGAAACCCAGAAAATATGGAAAAATATGGGAAATCCTTGTATTTGTGTGTATTTATTTGTGTGTCCCAGGGCCCCTTCAAGTTGGCGGCTCCGACAGACCGGGGCGGCCAGTTTTTCTGGGCGGTTGTCGGCCTTCGGGGGCCTTCGCCGGGCCGTGGGGCCATGAATCCACGGCCCAGGGCGAAAATCGGGCGGGCAATAAGGGAGGGTGGCCTAAATGGGGGGTAAAGAAAAAGGCCCTCACCCCCCACTGCCACCCGCCCGAGATAACCACCTGGAGCCGTGTCCACTCGGAGTCGTCCTGGCAGGATCGGCACGCGGAGCATGTTGCGATCTGTCACGATCTTATTGCATCTTGGAGGTCATCTTGACCTCTCTTCGGCCACTTTGGGGTCATCTTGGGCCATTTGGGCGCTCTCACCAATGCGGGACAATGATAATGACAGTCAGGATTACGGGACAATAAGGTCATAAAACTAATTAATCATTTTGATACGACGCATGCTAATAGTAAGCCTCATCAGTCATAAGATCGATCATGAGAAAAGTGGTGGGCCCCGCGTGTCAATGTGTAAGCGCGTATCCCCTTCCCTGCCCGACGTCGGTGGCCGCTTGGGCTCAGGCGCTCGGCCGTTTCGGAACAGCGGCTGGGCTCTGCAGCCGGTCCCTGGGCGGACGCCCTCCGCGCCGCGCCGCTGCGGAGCGAGCGGCCGGCCTCCCTTAGGGGGCCACATGCAAACCCTACCCCTACCCCTCCACGATTTTGGAGGGGGAGGGTGGGGGTAGGGTTCGCATGTGGCCCCCTACCTCCCTGGCGCCTGCCATGCCGCCGTGCAAGAGACAGGCGGAGGGAACCGAAGCGGCGGACCGCGGAGGAGGGCGGAGAGCGCAGGGGCAGCTCTCCGTACGACTCTCGGGGGCGGGAGCCAGGTCGCCAGGCAGAGGGCCGCGAAGAACAGTCGGGACCCCGGGGCGGCGCTCCGTACGACGTTCTGGGGTGGGAGCCTGGTGGAGCCCTGTGGGGCGGCCGCCAGGCTGTCAGAGTCTCCCTGCCGCCGAGTTCGCAATCTGGCGAAACTGGCAAGAGGTCCAGGAAGGACGCGCGAATTGCACCATGCGGACTGCAGCATGTAGCTCGTGCTCCATATATTCCATTTCTAACTTACACCGCGTCGCCCACGCATCGTAGCTCACGCCACGTATATAGCACCACATAGCTTAAACTACGCAGCTCACATTGCAGATCTTGTGCCACATACTTCATTCCACGCATGCTGTACCACATAGCTCACACAATACAGAGTGTACCATGCTGATTCTCCCTTGTTCGTGGTGCAATTTGCATCTGATTCTGCCCCATCGCCCATTCTAAATATGAGTTCGCGCCACCCCAGCCCAACTGGTATCGACCCCCCCCCTGCCATCCTCTGCAACCTATACGATGCGCGCTCTCGTTTCTCAAACTCGCGGGTTTTCATGAACCCCTTGCAAACACTAGGATGACGTGCACACGCGCGCGTCGCCGCGCGCGCATGCATCAATCTTTCAAAACCTTTCGGTTTCGTAAAGGCTTCAGGCTTCAGAATCCAGTACCAAACACATATAAAGCACATTGTTTCGCAACGCGGGTTTTCAAAACAAACTTGCGCTCGTGCTCTTGCGAATTCTTAGAGACACGTTGTTTTTTGTTATACGTATGTGCATAAAGTGCTACCAAACGGGCTTCGCGCGCGCATGCCGAAATCGTTCGAACGCCCTCGCGCGCGCTCCGTCGCGAAAATTCCTTGAAACAAACACCATGCGACATGCGTGCGCGCGCGTAGTCGCGCGTGCGTGCCAACATCCTTCAAGAACCTTCGGTGTCGCAAGGATTGCGAAGGCCTTACGGCTGGGGCCGCCGACCGTGCAGACGGAGACGACGGGCAAGACAAGGACGTTGAGTAGCAGGAGGCGGAGGAGGTCAGGGAGCAGGAAATGGGGGGAGGAGGGGGAGGAGGAGGAGGAGGAGGAAGAGGAGAGGAGGGGATGAGTAGGAGGATTTGAGGAGGAGGAGGAGGAGGAGAGAGGAGAAGGAGGAGGAGGAATAGGAGGAGGCGGAGGAGGAGGAGGAGGAGGAGGAGGAGGAGGAGGAGGAGGAGGGAGGAGGAGGCGGAGGAGGAGGAAGAGGAGATGAGGAGGAGAGGAGGAGGGGAGGAGGAGGAGGAGGAGGAGGAGAGGAGGAGGCGGAGAGGAGAGGAAGCGGAGGAGGAGGAGGAAGAGAGGAGGAGGAGGAGGAGGAGAGGAGGAGGAGAGAGGAGGAGGAGGAGGAGAGGAGGAGGAGGAGGAGGAGGAGGAGGAGGAGGAGGAGGAGAGCAGGATGAGAAGGAGGAAGAGGAGGAGGAGGCGAGGAGGCGGAGGAGGAGAGGAAGAGGAGGAGGAGGAGGAGAGGAGGGAGGGAGGAGGAGGAGGAGGAGAGGAGGAGGAGGCGGAGGCGGGAGGGAGGGAGGAGGGAGGGAGGAGGGAGGGAGGAGGGAGGGACGGAGGAGGGGGAGGGGGAGGGGAGGGGGAGGAGGAGGAGGAGAGAGAGGAGAGGAGGAGGAGGAGGAGGAGGAGGAGGAGGAGGATGAGGAGGAGGAGGATGCGGAGGAGGAGGAGGAGGAGGAGGAGGAGGAGGAGGAGGAGGAGGATGAGGAGGAGGAGGAGGAGGAGAGGAGAGGAGGAGGAGGAATGGAGGGGGAGGAGGAGGAGGGAGGAGGGAGGAGGAGGAGGAGGAGGAGGAGGAGGAGGAGAGGAGAGAGAGGAGGAGGAGAGGAGGAGGAGGAGGAGGAGGAGGAGGAGGAGGAGGAGGAGGAGAGGAGGAGGAGGAGGAGGAGGAGAGGAGAGGAGGAGGAGGGAGGAGAGGAGGAGGAGGAGGTGGAGAGGAGTAGGAGGAGGAGGAGGGAGGGGAGGGAGGGAGGGAGGGAGGGAGGGCGGGCGGGCGGGCGGGCGGGAGGGAGGGAGGGAGGGAGGGAGGGAGGGGAGGAGGAGGAGGCGGAGGAGGAGGAGGAGGAGGAGGAGGAGGCGGAGGAGGAGGAGGAGGAGGAGGAGGAGGAGGAGGAGGATGAGGAGGAGGAGGAGGCGGAGGAGGAGGAGGAGGAGGAGGAATAATAATACTAATACTAATAAGAATACTTTGACGAATGAGAAGAATACTACTAATAAGCAGAATACTAATAATAAGAACAACAATAATAATAACAAGACGAACACGACGCAGACGAATACTGACAATAAGAATAAGCCGAATACGATGAATCATACTACTACGGCGAATAAACAGAAGAATACTAATACTACACATAATACTACTCAGAAGAAGAATAAGAAGACGAACAAGACGAATACTATTAATAATAAGAAGACGAGTAAGAAGAACACTAATCATATTACTAAGACTACTACTAAGACGAATCATATGACGACGAATCATAATAATAATAACCATACGACGAACACGAAAACGAATAATAATAGTAAGACGCATACTGCGAATACTACTATTAATAAGGGTACGAAGAATAATACTAAGATTAATAAGAAGCACATTACTAAGAAGACGACTAATACTCCGAAGAATAAGAATAATAATACGAATAATAATAAGAATACTGATAAGACTAGGACGAATACTACTACGAATACTAATACGAAGAATACTATTAAGAATACTACGACTAATAACAATAAGAATACGACACATATTAGTAATACTAGCACTCACAATAATAAAATAGTAATATTAAGAATACTGATAGTACTAATACTATTAATAATAATGATAGTACTACTAATAATACTACTAATAATAATGTTACGAATAATATTAATACTACTAATAATAATACTAATAATAATACTAATAATAATACTGATAATCATAATAAAAATAGTAGTAATAATAATACTGATAATAATAATATTAATAATAATATTAATAATATTAATAATACTAATAATATTAGTAATAATAATAATAATATAAATAATAATGATAATACTAATAATAATACTAATGCTAATACTACTAAACATAAGAAGAATACTAAGAATAATACTAATAAGAATAATACGACTACGAAGAATACTACTAATACCAATAAGAAGAATAATACGAAGAGGAAGAGGAGGATGAGGATGAGGAGGAGGAGGACGATGATGATGATGATGATGATGATGATGATGATGATGATGATGATGAGGAG